GGCTAAGAGACGCTGAAAAGGTACTTAGAGGAGAGTCCGCCAGGCTAAGAGACGCTGAAAAGGTACTTAGAGGAGAGTCCGCCAGGCTAAGAGACGCTAAAAAGGTACCGTTAATGCTTTCGTAGACATACCGGACTAAACGGCCTGGATGGAGTACTATTTACCGTTAATGCTTTCCATAAAGGAAAAAGAGGTAGCGCGTAGACACACCGGACTAAACGGCCTGGATGGAGCACTATTTACCGTTAATGCTTTCCATGAAGGAAAAAGAGGTGGCGCGTAGATATACCGGACTAAACGGCGGGTAAGTAAGGTCTTCTTAAATAGATTAAAGAGGTAGACGCTCTGTAGTAGGTAGGTAAGGTCTTCTTAAACAGATTAAAGAGGTAGACGCTCTATAGGTAGGGCTAAACCTCTAAATTTTATAGATAAAGGTATAGGATAGGCCTATATCGGGCTTTCGCTACGATAGCCTCTACATTATTACTATAGCGGAACTAGTCAGGATCGAGCGCCAGTACGGCCTTACACTACCTTACGATTAAAACGGTATATAAGAAGTTCCGAGCCATCTAACCGAAACGACTAAATTATGAGCTTAGTTATCGCCTAAAGGTAGAATAGGATTCCCGTTATAAGGCTATATTATCTTTAAAGCTTACTATTACCCCGTAGACGAATATTAATCAAGCTCCGGATATCATGGACGCACCCGAATTCAGTAATTAGATCGAATTAATTAGCTTTAGATATACCGCCTCACTAACTTCATTTTCCTTCAACTCCAAAATACAATATATATTACGAAGAATACTATGTCTAGTACTAGACGGCCACCTAAGAGAGGTAGACCCCTATCGATAGACGATACGGTAGACCTATCTACCCAGCGCCGACGCTAACAAGACCGTATCCGTCAGTAGAGGCTTCGACAGAGACGACGATAGGAAGCTACCTAACCACCAGCTCCCGGACAATAAGCCATCGAATCCATTATTGAACACCCTTTTGACTTTCCTGATCCTACTCCTACTTCACCCGCTACTGGCTTACGCGTATAAGGTCAAGATTTCGTCCAGGACATTACAGATGCTACCCGCCAAGTTGCCGCCCTCGACATTGACGAACATTAAGCCCTCTACCTTAAAAACCTACCGCGGCTATAACCAGTACCTCCATCCCCTACTCAGAGCCCACGTCGCACTAACAGTCATAGATATCGCGAACCCCTCGATACACCACTACGCCCACCGTAAAGACTATCACTCAGCTAGCGATAGATTTACTACTATACCGCCTCACCGCGCCTATATTCGGGTGCACCCCAGTCCTCGAGCTATCGATCCCCCTCTACTCTATCTACGCCGTCCGTACTCCCTCGTATATACCTACTATCGCGATACACTCGCCACTACTAAGACTATACGTCGGTCTCGAGCGATAGCGAATCTGAACATGAAGATTACGGGAGCAGTACTCGGGCGAAGCTACTAAGGCCTTAGACCGATACTAAGACTACGAATTACCTAAACCGTACATCTACGCCCTCTATAGGGGTACCTCTACACTTAACTACGACTTACGCGAGAGCCTATACCTCTACTCACTTCTCAAGCTACTCGCCCGCGTCGCTAGTATCTATCAAAACCACGGCCGTAATCCGCCCTCTCCTACCGTCGTCGTCCTCTCAAGGTACACCGTCCGTATATACTTCGGCTAGAGTTAATATAGACTCTCCGATTATCTCTAGCCCAATTACGATACGTACATCGGCTAGAGTTTCATCCCTACTCCCCGCACCGAGAGCACATCGTACGCCGCGACGATCTCGACACATCTTCGGAGACACCCCCCCCGAACTCTTCGACTTAGACGCGTCGACCCCCCCTAAACTTATTGACCCTCCTTCCTAGACCCCCTCCGAGTTACTCGACTCTGACGACGTAGAAGGACTCTAATCCGAGCAAGAGGTAGCCAGTTAAGAGGAGGACATCCCGGACGAGGACAGTCTTTACAGTGTTAGACTCGAGAGCGATGATGACGAGCAAGACTACGTGACCTTTACCGCCGAGAAGCTCCTAGCCCAGTTCCATTTTAAAGGGCACTACGGATGTACGGTCGAGAAATACGCCTCTCTCCTCCAGCAGCACGAGGAGGCCGTCGGAGACTAGAAATACTACGATCTACTCTCTTATTTCCTACGCGCCCATTTCCCCTCGGTTATTCGGCTAGACTACGACATCGACCAGCTCCTGACTCGTAACCAGGCGTAGGGCGATTTTGCACCCTCGGCGGTACAATAGGAAGAAGCTATCTGCGGCACTGGTCCCCATTAACCCTTCCCGCGATATGTCTACCTCCATATGTACACCACCCCCTCTGCGGATCCCGAGGTCTCATCCGACATCGACAGCTTCCTCGGGTTCGCGACGTTACTCGCGTTCGCCCGGGGCGGGTTCAACGTCGAGCTCGCACTACGCGTGTACCGGAACATCACGACCGACGTCTACATCACCAGTACCTCGTACCGCGAGGTTCCCGTCCTACCTCGGGAGGAGGACCGCGACGAGGACGAGGGCGACCCTCTACGCCCCCGGGCCACCGCTACCCTCCTCCGCGACATCCCTCACTTCTTCGCCGGGCGCCTCTTTAACGCTCGCGACATCGAGGTCTACTTCCTCTTCCCGCACCTCCCGGTCGACGGGGAATTTATCGGATTAAAGCAGCAGCAGTTATACCGCTGGTTCGACCGTATCTTCCTCCCGGCCCTTACATCCATTGCTCCCGCGTACATCCTCCAGCACATCCCTAGGTCTCTCCGGTAGGCACAGGCTAACTCGGTCGCGGCGTAGGTCGAAGGGCGTAAGGCTACTACTAGTAGCTACTAGAGTGCCTAGGCCATCCACCATACCCTCTAAGCCTACCTCCTCGTACCCCTCTAGTCGGCCATCCTCGAGTTGATCGAGTTGCAGCCCGGCCTCCACGACTTTCGCGACCCCCAGATCTTCTTCAGTGCTAAAGGGACTAAGCTCGCCTTTAAGAGTCGCTCTAGTGATACTACGAGCGTCCTCGACGCCCTCCGAGAGTGGAATACTTGGATTTAGGGAGTCCTGTAATGGGAGTACATCGACGAGGACCAGCTGTACCTCGACCTCGGGTAAGAGATCTATATTCCCCGGGCCTCGACCGACTCGAGTATCTCCCCCACCCCTACGACGTACCTATAGCGGCGGTGTTGCCTCGAGTCGTATATCCGCTGGCTCTACCAGGAAGAACGTAAGACCCCGTCGTACTAGGGGTCGGGTGCTCGGTTCTATACGTAGTCTATACTCCGCGACGCCGTCTCCGTCACGAGTGTCCCCCCTAAACGGTCGCGGCTCTACCGGGGGGGTGTTCGCTACATCTAGAACTATAACTCGGTTAAGGAGGTATTTAACGCCAATAAGCGCATGCCCTTCGATAACGACGCCGTCGAGGAGCTGGCGGTCGACCCCTTAGTTAGTGACACCGCCCGTACTCTAGCCGGGGGGCGTCCCCGCGAGCGGCGTGTCCTACGCCGGGCGTATACGCAGAGTCGGTACCGCGCCCGCGTTAACCTGTACGATAACCGCCGTAAACACTACGGTATCCGGTAAGAGGCGCGTATTACCTACGCGTACGCGGTCGCCATGATGGACATCCTCCATACGTACCTCCCGCCCGCGACGCGCCCGCGGCCCCCTCGAGGCTACCCTCCGTACGTCTGGACGATCCCTACGCCGACCTACTTTCGCTTCCTCCGCTACCATATTAACCGGTTCGCCCTCGGCTTCGAGCTCGTCTACGCCCGCGCGCTCCCCTACGCGACTACGTAGGAGTAGATTAAGATGATGGCTATGTTCCTACGCTGTCTTCGCTTCGCCCTCGGCGGGTAGTAGCTCTCCCGGGAACCCGCCCTCTAGTAGGGGCGACGGGACCTCCCCCGGCGCGAATCGCGCGTCGACGTCGGCGACCTAGATACGGACCACCGCCGCAGCTGGGTCGGCCTCGGATTCTATTACACCCTTCCCCGCTACGGATTCTACTGGGTCGAGCCGCGGATCGACTAGACCCGCCTCGAATTCCACCGGGACATTACCGACCTCGTAACCTTTAGTAACTCGGCCCTGCGAGACCTATACGTCCGCCGCGGTGGTGCCGTCCGTGACTTCTTCGACTACGAGCGGCGACTCGACCTCGCCCTCCGTCTCCTCGAGGAATACGTCGACTACGTCTTCATCGCCTAGCGTCTCCTCCAGTGGACGGTGCACATCTGCCTCGAGCAGTTTCGGATCGACACCCTCTATACGGTCGAGCACGACATCCTCCCCGACTACGTCGAGGAGGCCCTACAGAGCCCGGGCCCCTTCTACCACGAATACTTTCGCCGCATTATGTCGACTAAGCGTATCTATACCGTCACCGGCAATAAATCCGACTTTAAGGACCCCCGCCGACTCGTGCAGTACCTCTTCGACTGGGACGACGAGTTCGTCCGGCTCTACTGGGACTAGAAGCCCTACCGTACCCTCTACCGCCGCGCGTATACTCGACTCTCCTACGCCCCCTTCGCCGCGAACCATTACCGCCGGTACTTTACGCGCACGTACATCCGGTACCTCTTTAAGTGGTACTGGCTCTTGCCCTACCCCTACCGGAACGGACTGACCTAGAAGACTAAATAGAGTGCGCGCATATAGTACTCTATCGACCTCGTAGCCGCCGATTTCGATACCATACCTACGCCCGACATCCTCCATCGCGTCGAACCCGATAAGTGGGTATAGCTCGGGGCCCGTAATAAACGGACGCACTAGCTCTACCGCCCGGGATGGACGGCCGACCTCCTAGAGTGGATTTCCTGGATACCGACCTAATGGTCCGAGTGGGTCGATATATAGGTGCGCCGCATTACCGAGACGGAGTGACCGCCGAGGACGCACCCTCACTAGGGGACTCTCTAGTATTATATATATATACGAACTATAATCATCTACGATTCGTTCTACCTCTCCCTCTCTCCACGTCTATCTATGCATTATCTCCGGGCGGCGGTGAGAATGGGCTATAGAATGGATCCGCTGCGTATCTCTCCCCTCCTTCCCCTTAGATCTATTCTACAGCCTATCTACCGTGACCACCCGTGTCGTGAGCCGGTCCGGATCCCGACCCTCGTCGTTCTACGCCTCGAGGCCATATGCGCTATGGAGGCGACACTACGATTGCCGAGACCCCACCGCTAATCTAATTTCCTATCTTTTATTCCTATATCTCACCCATCCAGCTAAACCTGAACCTCTGAAACTTCCGGCTTCCGCGCCGTAGATCTTGTCCATCTCGCGAAAGCTTATCTCGGCCGCGACCTATCGAGGATGGACACTATTATTGAGTAAGCGCGACCGTGAACCGCCTATCACATTGTCACTCGCCCCGATTCCCATGACGCCTCGCCCGGTGTTGATCTAAAACCCATTTTTATACCGTTATTCCGTTTATACCCACTACTCCGGTTATAGAAAACACGCGCGTCCGTACAGGATCTACCATCCCCGTGAATATAGAAACCTATTACTTACTTTAAGAAGAGCATTAGGTGACGGCCTTAGTACCCTCTGACACGGCGTACCTAGTAAGTTCCGGTAGGAGGTCATTACTTACTTTGAGAAGAGCATTAGGTGACGGCCTTAGTACCCTCAGGTACAGCATACCTAGTAAGTTCACTTAGTAAGTTTACCTGGCCGGATTAATCTAACGGATGCTTAGATCTCGCGGGATAAGATGGTGGACTTCTTGTAAGTAGTAAGCTTGGAGGCTTCGATGGCGCCGCGATCGAGGATGTCTAATGGTATACACCGAAATCTATGTCAGTTAAGGACCGCGACATGACTTGCCGTCGACGACCCGTATACGACGCCATCGCGAACGTGCTTACATCTAGTATCACCTAACTAGTCTGGTAGAAGGGATAGTAGTACTAGTAGTAGGTAGAATCCGGGGTCGGGTACCCGTAGACCTATAATTTACCCCAGAATTTCTCTATATTCCCCCAGTCCGCGCTGATTCGTCAATCATAGACGTATCCTCTTTATATATCCTAGACGTCTCCGCCTCCGAGGCTCGCGCATTAAAGATTGGCCGTTAGTGTCAATTAGGGTATGATACACGTCTATTATTCTATGGTACGGCTTAATTGCATAAGACCCATCTAAGTCGGCCTCTACCGACCAGAGCTTATATGATGGACTAAATGTCTGACCTAGGAAGTCCTGGCATCGGCTTATAAGACCTCGTAGAGTTAGAGTAAATAGGCTGTAGAATGGATCTAACAGCTTGTCACCTCTTCAGTTATGGTCAGGTAGTCTGTAGACTGGATCTATCTCGCTCTAGGGTATGGCAGAATTCACCTCTACCTCACCTACCTAGTTATCGACAACACTTGGCGTCTTTCGCCGTCGCGAATCTATCTCCCACTTTTCAATCTCTCTTCTCTCCTCTCATACTTTCCCAGGACAACCCTTCTTAACTTCATCTAAATCGCTCCATTTTCCTGTACAAACGCTGTCTAATCCATCAAGAGAGTCCAGCACAGGCTCTACCTAACCGTAGCCCAGCCGAGACGCCCTTTTTAGCGCCAGCGACGCCAGATTCGCGCGCCGGCGACAGATTCTATGTAACAGCGGCTAAAATCTCACCCAGAGGTCAGTGTTTAGCTCACTAGATCCAATCCACAGCCTATTTACCCTCTCCCTCTCTCATCTACTACCTGCCTCCAGCCTCCAGTGGATCCATTCTACAGCTAATGTCTTCTCTTCCCCAGTCTACTAACTACTCCAGTGGATCCATTCCTTACCGCCTTTTACTAGGCTTCCGCGATTTTAAAACCTCAAGAGATTCATCGAGGATCTCCTTTTTTAACCTTTTTTTTTTGTTGGTTTAGCACTGGTAGCGAGGTAGTTCCATTCTATATCGCACCTTACCAGGTTTCTGTAACTTCGACCATTTATAAGACCCTTTCAAGATCTCATCCTGACCCTTTTTCATGTTGGTTTAGCACTGGCAGGGAAGAGGATCCGTAGAAGTTCCATATTCCATCCCTTTTTACTCGTAACGGTCTATGGAATGGATCCATTAGATTTCCAAGATTAACGCCTCCTGACCTATAACGGCCTAGGGACTGGATCTACGCACCATCTCTCGTTTTTTTATTTTGCCGTGCGACCAGTACATAATGGGCTATGGAATGGATCCATTCCACGGCCTATTTGATTGGCGTCTATCCCGCGCCCCTTGACTCATTGGATCTAACCTATAGACCATTTTGACTGACTCGAGCTACTCACAGGAACTGAAAACCCCATCGTCACTATAGTACCCCGCCGTAAGCGCCGATCCGGGACCTCCAGCTCCTCCGAGGCGGAACCTGCGAAGCGCCCTAAGACCGAATTAAAGACCGCGCTGGAGGCACGCGTCGTATATGTCGAGTAGAAGGTTGCCAGAATCAAGAAAGCGTATGAAGACCTGCTAAGAACTAAAGGTAATAAAGACCGCGCCGCTCAGCTCAAGGAGAAGTATAAAAACACTAAGGCCGCCCTGGAAGAGTTATAAGAACGACTGAAAAACACCGAAGAAGCCACTGACTGGTCTAACCTATCTGACTAAGAGAGCCCCCTAAAGAGCACGACTAAGAAGAGCACTACGAAGAGCACGACTAAGAGCACTAGTCATATAGACCTTACCGGCGCGGACGATGGCGAAGCGTAATCCCCGGCACCAGCATCGAAGGCTACGGATAAGGGTAAGTAGCGACAGTCCGAGGCTAAGTCCGCCGTATATATCGAAGACTCCGAGGGCGAATCGGACAGCGGCCTCGACCTGGACCCTAAGACAGCTCGCGATAAGGCTATCGCCCGCAACGCTAGGAAGCAATAGAAAGCACAGGATAAGAAGACGGTGGAGGACTTCGGCTTTACGGACCGCGCGACCGCTATCGCCGCTATGGCCCACAATTTCTGTTGGTATCGGATCATCGAGTCCGAGCGAAAACTGCAGCGTAACCAGGCCTACATCGCCGGGTACCTAAGCTTACCCAACACCTAAGAGCTCGGCCGGGTGGTCGAGGCCTTAAAACCTACCATCCAATCCTTCCTGAAACATAAGCGGGTGGGCTTTAGTGTGCCCGGCGTAGTCGCTACGTCTACGTTCGCCTACGACAAGATTGTCAAAGAAATCGCTAAAGGCGATAAGGCCCCTTATAGCTGGAGACAACTAGCCGATGTCAGCGTTACGGAACCCCTATCCCTCGAGGACCCCTACTTCGCTAAATTCGTGGGCCCGACTAAGAAGAATAAGAGCATCTTCCCTAAGGCCGTCTACGTGGCCCAGACATATAAGATCATCAAGAAATGCCGCGGCCTCTTCAAGGAGTCCTTTGATAAGGCGAAGCCCGGATAGATCCGATGGGGATTCGCCACCGCCGAGGACTTCCATCGCGCCTTCGTCCTGCTACGGTTCGCGGTCGGGTATTACGAAAAACAGACCCTACCTATCTTCGGTAATAAGACGGCGGCCCCGGTGCGCTACTTAACCGATGAGGAATTCGCCCGTATGTCTATCGACCCGGCTACCGCGGCTAAAGCCTAGGACGTGTAGAACCTTAAAGACTAAGTCACTCTCTTGTAGGGGGACAAGGAATACCCCGAGTACGATAAGGTGGAACGGATTAATATAGCCACTCTCATCCTTAAAGATGAGACCCTAGATCAATTAGCCGATGACAACGACTGTATCGCTCGTAACATCGAGCGACTCTCCAAGTCATCCAAGAAGAAGGTGAGTTTCACTCGTCTATGGAATGGATCCGTTCGCTTGACTCTAGATTACCCGGCTAACGGGCCGTAGAATGGATCCGCTGGACATCCTAACTACTGGATCCATTCTACGGCCCATTCGCCTGGACTGTTACTAACTGGCCGAGAGGATCCATTCTACGGCCCCCTTTTACTCGTTAGCACGTCACGTCACTGACCACCTTCTTTCCAGGGCGCGACCGACCGCGTGGTTCGACCTCTACTGGACGAAGAAACACTTAAGTACTTCTTACTGTCGCTGATCGACTAATGTGACATTGTCTACGACTCGTTCACTACGACCTTACCGGGAGACTCTACCCAGCAGAGTGAGGACCTCTCCATAGCCGAGCGCGTCGCCCCCGAGAAGTACTAAGACCCGATGAAACCCGCCGTCCTACACCCTACCGAGAAGGAGTTTTAGGACCTACGGGCGAAGACGTCGACAGTCTATACGCCGGTTAAAGGCTATCGCGAGGCGGCCTAGGTCTTAGGCATCGACCCCGACTACCGTAAGTTGGATAAGGGTATCTATACTCCGCCCACCGATAAAACCGACCCCACGCCCTTTTACCCTAAATACTACCAGGTCATCGGCACGGTATGGCAGATGGACATGGAAGAGTGCCCCTGCGGTGGCGGCCTGGTCGCCAAGGACTGCGGACTCGGCAAGACCTCCCAGTGCTACGCCTACATCTACCACGCGGCCATGAAGAAACTGGGCATTTGGCAGGAGTACCTGGAGCGGCGCGACGACGCCATTACGCACGGCCGCCCGCTGCCGAAACCCCCTAAAGTCGACTTTCGACCGACCCTGGTCGTGGCGCCGCCGACTACGTTGGACTCGTAGTACACGGAATACCGTAAACATTGGCGTAGTAAGAGTAGCCGTCCGGTCCTCGACCTCCGCATCTTCTACGGCACCGACCGCACTCTAAGTACCGACGTCGAGGAAGACCTTCGCGCCATTATGCTTCCCTCCAACCCCCTAGCCGCGCGGGACGCGATCGAACAGGCTTTCCCGGCCGACGACCCTATGTCCGCCTTCGGCATCGTCTAGGTAGCGTACGAGACGTATATTAAGCGCACTCTAACCAGCATCAAGAAGTCCATCGAAGATAAGTTTCGTACCACCACCGGCCAACCCGAGAGAGGTAAGTACTACGCCGCCCCCTACATCCTAACGGTCCATAGCATGGATCCATTCGACGCCGCCTCCCCGCGGATCCATTCTAGAGACCATCTACTAACCGCCCCCGCGTCTTCCCTACAGATGATGACTCCATTAATACTCTACCCGGCGACGTTAACGCCACTGCCAGTACGGTACGGTCGCAGTACCTACCCAGCCTTAAGGACATTACGCTTAAGGACGCCGATTTGAGGCGCATTCGCCGGCTCACTCGCCAGCTCGACGACGATGTCCATTTTGATGAATAGGCCACCGCGGACCTTCCCCCCGAGGAAGATGACGCCGGCTTACGCGAGGAATCGGACGACTGTACGGTGTATACGTCCCTCTTTGCCGGCCTCTTCTATCGGGTCGTCTACGACGAAGCCCATAAGGTTAAGAACCCCAAGACGATGAACGCGATCGCCATCGAGAAACTGTACGCGCCTAAGAAGTGGTTCATCACCGCCACGCCTATAGTAAACCGGGTGTCGGACCTCCTAGGGTACCTGTACCTCCTCTAGAACCCGGCCTAGGAGACGGACCTCCGGGACCTAGACGACTTCATCCTACCCACCTAGGCCGAAAAAATCTACTCGTCCCTGGTCATTACCGACGTCAAGGATAAATGTCCCGGGTATATAGCGAAGTACTACGACTAGCCCCTGTTCGTGCTTAACCCCCGCCTGTTCGCCTCGCTCATTAACAACGGTAAGCTGGAGAGTGCTACGACCGCGCACAACGTACTCCGCATTATTTTAGGTCTCATCCAGCTCCGCTGGACCATAGCGTCCTAGATCTAGCTGGAAGGCTACGACTACTACTAACCGGGGATCAACGTGCCCATGTACTACATTACGGGCGTGGAACTGCGACAGCGCGCGTACGAAGAGGACGAGTATAAGAAAGTCTAGTCGACCTTTTCCCGCCACCTTACTAAAGGGGGTGCGGCGGCCGCCAAACCGAGTAAGAAACCGGGTATCGCGCCGTCCGGGCTGCGCGACATGGCCATCCACCGCTACCTCTACCTGACTACCTTCGACGGGCGGATAAACACGCTGATGCTCCGCAAGAAGGGCCTAAAGGGTGCGGCGTAGGCGCGCGACTGGACCGAGAACACGGACGACTACGGCTTCACCGAGTACTTTCTAGCTATCCGCCCCTCCCCGACCATCCCTAACTACTGCGACCGGCTGGGCGTATACGCCTACTAGGCCGGGGAATCCGCGAAGTTGCGGTACCTAGCTAAACACGTATACATAGCGATGTAGGGCGACGAAGCGGGCCACTTTACGGGTAAAGTCGTGTTCATGATGAATTGGCTACACACCCAGTGGGGACCGGACAGTTTCTTATACAACCTAGGGGTGAAATACTATGTCATCTGGCCCAGTACCACAACGGCGGCGCGCAGCTCGATCCTAGCTAAGTAGAACGACCCGGAGGACGACGTACTCTTCCTGTTACTGAACAGCCGGTCGTCCTCGCTCGGCCTCAACATCTAAGGGGCGTGCCATAAGCTCGTGATTTTCGACATGCCCGAGAACATCCCTACCGTGACCTAATCCATCGGCCGCGTCCACCGCCTAGGTCAAGAATACGTCCAGTTCATCTGGACCGTATACGTATTAGGTACGTACGACTAGTAGCTGTACTCTAACGCTACGGCTAAGATGATGAGCTAACTCGCCGGGGAGGCGCGCATGGAAACGCAGATCTCGACCCTCGACCGCGAGCGGATGTTTACGGCGTCGAACGATATGGACCCGGCCGAGGCCTACCAGGTGGTGAAAGCGGCGCGGGACGACCTATTTATGGCGTAAGCCGAAGAGTACATTCGCCGCCAGCTAGGTCAGCGTAGGGTTAGGGTTAGGGTTAGGGTTAGGGTTAGGGTTAGGGTTAGGGTTAGGGTTAGGGTTAGGGTTAGGGTTAGGGTTAGGGTTAGGGTTAGGG